CGGGACGAAACAGGACATGACAAGACGGGACGGGACGGGACGTGATGGAACAGAACGAAATGGAGGTTCATGTTATGTTTGGTATGCATAGGACGAAACGGTTCGAATTTCGTGTTAAATGACTAACTTAGCCTTGTTTGTACAATTTCTGTAGCGTCGTCGTTTTCCTTCGTTTTCTCGGCAACCAATCAGACCCCCAAACAATTACAAGAAGAAAAAAAAATGACGAATCAAACCTCCAAACAATTTCTTTCTCTTCAAATCAAACACAGAAAAATCCCAAAATTCATTTCAATCAATTTCTGCAGCTTCGTCATCGTCTTCCCCGCAGCGTCGTCATCGTCTTCCCTGCAGCGTCGTCATCGTCTTCCCTGCAGCGTCGTCATCATCCTCTGTGCAACATCCACCTTCTTCCCTCCGAACCACCAAACTGTTTCACTATCTCTCTCCCAATGGTCCGGCATTGACTCGCCCTCCTAACTCTACTGGCTCAGCATCTACTCGCCCCCTTCCTCCCACCACAACAACTTTATAGGATACAAGTTCCTCTCCTCCGCCCCCACATGGAAATCTGGGTCGGGCTCCATTTCCCTCCCTCTGGTCAATCTCCGATTCAACTACTCCTTCCAGATTTTCTGCTGGAACGAGTCCGAGGTCGACCCCAACCACCTCGACTAGGACCACAACCCCTTCCCCGACACCGCCCACCTGCTCGCCACCTCAGATGACGAGCTTAGCTTCGAATTGGGTCGTGTTCCAGATCAAATCCACCTCGTTTACACGGACGGAAATGACGAGATGCGGGTCATGTTCGTGACGCCAGACGGCACCGGAGAAGAAGAAGGTTTGCTATGGTGACGTCGTCGTTGTCAGATGGGTTTGCTGGGATTGGGTTAGCAATTGGGTTACTGGGTTTGTGGTGGAGGAAGAGGAGGGCTATGGGAGAGACAATGGTAGAAGAGAGGGAGGTTACGGGAGAGAAATGGAGGTAGACAATGTAATTAATGAAAAATAAGAGGGGTATTGTTGTCCAAAAAAATATAATTTTGTGTCCCACGGATGGAAAAACCCGTTCCCGGGGGGGGGGGGAAGGGGGAACCAAAATCTAACCCATTTTCGTTCCGTGGGATGCGCGTTCCACATAATTTTAGCACATCAAACGTGGGACGGAACGCGTCCGTCCCACTCTGTTTCGTCCCATCCCACGTACCAAACGCACCCTTATATACAAAATGAGGAACTGACAAATAGATTAGGATAAGTCTCTTATACTCGCATCTTTGTGCATGTGGTCTTCGATAAATAATCATGTGGTCTTACTATAGCTAGATATTCCATTAATTTGTTAAATGCACATATTCTTATTTCTTCTTATATTAACAATTTTCCGTAAGGAATTTTAATTTGATTGCCATACGTACTAGCTGTTAAAAAATGGATATGTCAATATATTTATGCAATTATGGCAGCTTTTTAAATATTTACTTTCTATGTTTTATTCTAATTGTCTACCTTATTAATTTTTCAAATTTATCAGAATTATCATATAAAAAATTTAAATTTATTTTATCTATAATATGCATGCAAATAGTTACAGCATTTAAGTTATTCCCTTTTCGGGGTTTCCCTTCTAATTCTAAATATCATACTACTTATGTTGTGAAACTTAACAAGAATCGCAATTGTCTTATAGATTCACTAACCATTGTAAATTTGTAATGTAGGTCATGGTAAATAATAATATTAACGCCAACGTGGGATTTCCTTATTTAGTTTTTTATTTTATCTTCTTTCCCTTTAGTATTTCTTTACTAAAAATTCCAAAGTTAGTATTTCAACCGGCCTGTATATATATCGACATAAATATTTTATCGGGTTTAAGAATCAATGCGCAACGCCTCCTCCGCCAATATTCAGTCCTTTGTATGTTTTGTTTTCTAGTAGTATTTCAATATCTTGCAAGTACTAGTTTAATTTGTAACTTTTTTAGTTTTTAACATTTCAAATTCTAGTTTATTCAAAGGTTATCCAAAATAAAGAGTAGGCGAATATGCATAAAGTAGTTTAGGATTGCCGGCCGAGATGCTCTGGACATGCAAAATGTAGTTTAGAATTGTCGGCTGTATGCTGTGGACATGCTAAAGGCACCTTAGTGTGTTACCATTCGGAATTTTGAATGTGTCACATCACGGCCCAGGACGGATCACTTCCTGGGTCCGCTCCACCACCGTAGTAAGATATTGTCCGCTTTGAATCCCAACTACGCCATCACGGTTTTGTTTATGGGAACTCACACGAGAACTTCCTAGTGGGTCACCCATCATGGGAGTGCTTTCGCGCGCTACTCGCTTAACTTCAGAGTTCCGATGGAACCCGAAGCTAGTGAACTCCCAAAAGGCCTCGTGCTAGGTAGGGATGAGAAAATACATTTAAGAATCACTTGCCCTGGGCGATGTAGGATGTTACAATCCACCCCCTAGGGGTCCGACGTCCTCGTCGGCACACTTCCGGCCAAGGATTGGCTCTGATACCATTTGTCACATCCCCGCCCGGGGCGGATCACTTCCCATGCCCGCTTCCCCACCGTAGCAAGATATTGTCCGCTTTGGGCACCGATCACGCCTTCACGGTTTTGTTTCTAGGAACTCACACTAGAACTTCCTAGTGGGTCACCCATCATAGGAGTGCTCTCGCGCGCTACTCGCTTAACTTCGGAGTTCTGATGGAACCCGAAACCAGTAAACTCCCAAAAGGCCTCGTGCTAGGTAGGGATGAAAATATACATTTAAGGATCACTCCCATAAGCGATATGGGATCTTACAGAATGTACAAAAAATAGCTTAAGGTTTTCGCCAGGATGCTCTTCAAATGCAAAATGTAGTTTAGGGTTGTCGGCTGAGATATTCTGAATATATAATTTTATGGTTGCCGACGACAATGCTTTGAATAATATGGTGTATCGTATGGAAAAAAAGGGTCCACGAGTTTTGTTTCATTTTGATAAAAACAAAAAGGTGGAGTGGAGTTCAAAAGATGAGAGGCTTGTACCGGAGGAGCTCGCTATGGAGGACAAGAACAGAAGCTCCGCACTCACTCTTCTTCTTCTCAAATGCTCTCTGTACCGACGCCAACATTGATGGGGTTCAAAGCTCCAGGATCAAGGTCTTCGATCGCCACTTCAGACGCAAACAGCTTGATCGAGCTGCTTGGTTGATGCGTTCCAAGGATTCTTTTGTTGATACTGTGGCTAAGAATCTATTGGATCGTTTGGAGGACTGCAAGAAAACATTTCCAGCGGCATTATGTTTAGGAGGTCAATTGGAAGCTGTCAGGCGCTTGTTACGTGGTCGTGGTGCCATTGAAAAGCTCATTATGATGTCTGCATCATCTGACATGGTAGAACTGTGTAGAAATGCTGAGCGTGAGTTACAAACTGAAAACATTGAAACATCCTTTATGGTTGGTGACGAAGAGTTTTTGCCCGTTAAGGAAAATTCTGTGGATCTGGTATTAAGCTGCTTGGGACTTCACTGGACAAATGATCTTCCAGGAGCCATGATACAGTGCAGATCGGCATTGAAGCCAGATGGCCTATTTTTAGCAGCGATTCTGGGTGGAGAAACCTTAAAAGAGCTGAGATAGCGTGCACCGTGGCACAAATGGAGCGTGAAGGAGGCATCAGTCCACGAATATCACCTTTGGCGCAAGTGCGGGATGCAGGCAATCTTTTGACCAGGGCAGGCTTTACCCTTCCAGGTGTTGATGTGGACGAATTTGTAGTAAGATATCCAAGTGCTCTGGATCTTATAGAACATTTGCGTGCAATGGGTGAAACCAATGCTCTGCTACAAAGGAACACTATTTTAAAGAGAGAAACTGCCCTGGCCACCGCAGCAATTTATGATTCTATGTTTGCAGCAGAAGATGGCACCATCCCAGCAACCTTCCAGGTGATTTATATGACAGGGTGGAGGGACCATCCATCTCAGCAGAGGGCAAAGAGGAGGGGGTCGGCAACTGTATCTTTTCAGGACATCCAGAACCAATTTGGAAGTGAGGATTGATCTCTTTATGTGCTCACGTTTTCTAAGCAAATGAAGGTCGACTGAGAGGAGAAAGTTGTACGACCAAAATGTGGGGTTCGGTCAATCAGAATATTGGGCGATTGTTTTATGAGAGTTTTAACGAAACACTTTCGTTACTGTTTATTTATAACAAAAATAACATTTTTATCCTAAAAAGTCACTTCCGTTACTATTCAAAAAAAAAAAAAAAAAGAAGGGTCCACGAGTTTTGTTTACATTTTCCTTGTTTATTTATTTATTTTTTGAGAAAAGATTTATTATTTTCTTTAGCATATTGTATATTGTTTATGTAATCACATTACATTTTCACTTAGTTCTTTGTGATAACTATTTTTTTTTGTATAATCGTTCATTTTATTTTGAACTTTTTTGTCATACTTTTATTTTGTACGTAAAATTTGATTGACATTTTTTGTATTTTTTTTTCCTTCAGGGTCTCTATATATACTTTACTAGCTATGTCGACCAATCAGAGCAACTCCTGCAACAACATCCTTGGAGTCACTTCAAAACCTACAACCGAAAAAGGGGTAATGCGTGAATTCTAGCTTCAATATAAATGGATTTGTAATATGCATGCTTGCCTCCCATTATATATACAAATCTTAAGAATTTAACGATTAATTATTATTTTAATGTAATAAAAATTAATTATAACTCATTAAATACAAAAACAAGAGCATACATGGCAACGTCAAGCATCAATTTGAGTGTTGTTCAATGAGATCGTATTATGATTTTGCTTATTATTTTTTAAAATGTTTACTTTTAATCATTTTTCAGTAAGAGCATACAGATGGTACTAAAGTAGACGCATATAGCTAATTAATTATTATATAAAAATAAGCTGATCAATTGTAAAGAATTAAACAAGTTGATCAAATTTTCTTATAATTAAATGCCTGCAGCGGGAGCAAGTAGAAACTGCTGACCAGCATGTAATGGATGTAACTGTGGCTGATCCTGATTTTAAAGAACAAGTGAAAGTTGCAGTTGATGAGAAAGTTCACGTTGTGGAAAATGAGCAAGTTGTTCTTAACAATGAACAAGTGGACGATCTAGCTGAGCAAATAGAGATGATGAAAGAAGATGAACAGGCAAATGAGAAACCAATTATTTCTGAGAACCAAGAGAATTTAATTGGCGGTGGTGGATTCGATGATGATGAGCAGGATTCTGCAGCAATGCTGCTTCAGCCTCATGATCAACAGTAATATTTATACATATCGTTTTACTATATAGATTAATTCGTTCTCTAATTTTGGGACTAATCATAGATTTAAATTGACATCTTACGATACACAAATAGGCCGGTGGTGGAAGAGCCCCAACCCCAAGAGGCATTTGAGATAGGTGTTGGCGCTGGCAGCAGTCCGGTTACTCCAGGGTTCTACGAGATCCCTTCACTCTCCACTGATTCTGCATTAGCAAGGCCATGGTCACCTTTCTCTTCAACTGCGGTATTATCTCTCTCGTGTACTACTTTATATATTTATATGTATTTCATGTTCAGTCTAATATTATATAGTTATTTCTACAAATACATTCAAAGGAATTTTAGAATGATATACTTTTGAAATGCTATCCTCACTCTTCTCAACACAAGTTTTCCCTAATATTTTTGTAAATTTGAAGTGCATGACATATTTTGAAATGCCCAACACACAACAACTTTCATATGCATACATGTTATTCCTTTTACTCAATGAGAAATTACCACAGTTATTATTATTGTTTAGGTGGATTATGCACCTGCAGCCAAAGACTCCATGAAGTACACAGTCAACTCTGAGCAAATTCTCATGGGCCATATCCTTGGAAATAATCAGCAGTCAAGTGTTCCTCTGCCAAGCGGCATCCAGCAGTCTTTTCACCAACACTTTCAACAAATGCCTATGTATGTGTGTGTGTAAGCTAACTACCTCAGTATTTTATATTATATTTTTTTGGACAATATTATATAATTAATATTGACAACCATTTTCGGTGCCATATTAGCTATCAGTTATTCACCAATCACTATACTATGAATACTACCAATTCAATATAATATATAATTAAGATAATTGGTTCCCAATGAATCACATTAACCCTAGCTGCGTTTCTTACTTTTTTATTTAGTTTTCAACAAAACATGGCATCTGAAGACAGCCGAAGCAATCGTATGTTTTTTCCCATTGATGATCAAGTTCCACTGAGGAGCTTCGAAACTGGCATTGCAAGTGGTTACACAAATGCCACCAACAACATCCCAGTGGTGAGGAATTAATTGATATTATTTTTATTTGTGAAATTCGATGATAAAAATGGTCTTCATATCTTACATAAATTAATTTCATATTTTCTATTATGTTGGTTCTTGTCTATATATGCAGGCACAGTTGGATAATGGAAATGGTGGATCCCCCTACATGAGGGCGCAGGCAATTGCTTCCTTGAGTTCCCAGCAACCCATGCAGCTGCATCAGCCTGCAACTCTTTCTGGGTATAATTAATTAATCACGTATCAAAAGTGTCCATGAGTTTAATTCTTATAATATATCTGTGTGTGTGTGTATTATACATATTTGAATTGAATCTTCTAGTTAATTATTGTCTTTTAGTTAAATAATTTTCTCCTATTGATTTTCAAATTTTAATTATTGTTTATAGTTAATTCCCGATTAATCAACCTAGCTGTTGGTATTTTTTTTATTTTTTATGCTGAGTTATTTGGTAATTGGTAGTCTTTTCTTTTTCTTAAAGAGAGTGAGCGAAATGTTATATAACTCATATTAGTTATATATAAGAAAACGGAATGTTATACACAATGTTATTAATCCCTTATATTTATATTGGAAAATAGAGAATATGTGACTTGATACATTGGACCTTCTTTTTTAAATTAAAAAAAGTTGAAAAATATTACCTTTGTATCGAGTCGTATTTCAATTAAAATAGACATAATATTAGCCAAATTAAATTCCGAAATTTCAAAATTCTCCAGTCAAAATATTAGCTTTCCAAATATGGATTAAATGGAAATTAGTATTCACTAACTCAGTATTGTACTTGCTTTGGAAAAAAAAGAAAGTAATGTTGTTGCATCATATATATAGGTCCCCAGAAATCCAATTTCATGGGCTGATGGCAAATCAGTCTACTGCAGCATCCAATGGCAGCCTTCCATCGGCCGGATACCAGAACATCGTCATTCAAGTAAGCATTATTTCTTCCTAAACTTTATAGTTTCTCTCTATATAATTTTGTTTCCTTTGACAATGACAATCACAGAACATATATATCACAGTTATGAAGTAAATGTGCTTGTTCTTGATTACGTTTAATTGGTCCTCACAAGAACGTGCTTTAAGTACCTTACACACCAGTAACACTTAAAAAACCCTAGAAGAATATTCAAAATATCATCACATTCACCTATAGATAGTAGCTCTGCCTCCTCCATATAAATACATGTAGCAATATTTAGACCTAGTAGACATACACATTACTTTCCACCACCGTCTTAGATCGATATATATGGTTAATCCTTTTTCAGCAAACGATGCCTTCGAGCTTTACGAGCGTGAATGCGTACGACCAGCTAGCGGGAGAGTTTCAGAGGCCTGCTGCAATGGTACGTACTAGTCTAATTAATCTAATTTAGTGGTTTTTCGTGTTGTTTCATTTTATCAGTGATATGATATATATTCTCCATCACATATACGTAGATTCCAACGAACAACTGGCAAGGGAGCATGAATTTTCCAGTTCCGAACTATAGCAACAGCGCTCCAGCTCCTCCCCCTAGGTAATTAATTATTAATCATCTTTTATTATCAAATTCATTGGTTAAATTAATTTCATATGCATGTTATTTTCACTGTCATGTGTACTTTCTATATTCAGCAGCAATCTTCTCAAATTAATTATGTATAATTTCCTGCAGGGCGATCAAGAACTCCCTGTATGATCCGAAGTACGAAGCCATGGGGTTACCCATTGATCCGCATCTGCGAATGTTTCTTGCTCAGCAGAGGCGTGAAAATGGTGGGTATTCTCATTAAGTTATACAGTAATCAGGGTTTATACGTACCAATTAATTAAGTTCGAAAATAGCTAATAACAAATATATTAATATATTCAGCTTTATTTTTTGGGGTTGCATTGCAGAGGGAGAATGATATGCCATAAGAGCAATGTGGGACAAAACAATAAGAGTTTAATCGCTATGTTTTGGCTGGAGCCGCTGTTGCAAAAAAGTTGTCGTCTGATTTTTATTTAGTAGTAATAAAATGAAGAACCCGGAAAGGGATGTGATACCCAGTATCAGATACATTGGCGTTCTGGAAACTATATTTGCATTGCATGGTTTTTATTGGTATTTTCGGATGATTAATTGTTCGGTTATTTTCTTTATAGACATATTAAGTTGAGTTTTGGTTAATTATTTTGTTTATTGGTGTGAATATTTGATTGCATGTTTCCGTTTTGATTATCTTAATTCACATAACAAATAGTCATCTTGCATCTATAATTCAGAACGTACGTATAGATGGTGATTTTGTTGCAATGTTGAATGCGTTACGTAATTGATGATCAACAAGTGAGTTATATTCGTCTGTATACAATATTGAATACTAGTACACATCCGCTCTAGCCATTTTAGCTACGGTCACCTTTGCAATAAATTATTTAATTTTTGTTTGTTTCAAGACAAGACAGCAGATTAGGGTCATTATGACAAGAATATTTTGAGATTAGGAAATAAACCGAATTTTAATGGTGTCACGCTGCGTTTTGAAAAGATTTTTCAGTGTGATCGTCACACGAGCTGGTGCATCGCATGTCTTTATATAAATGGCAAGTTACGTGTGTTAAAAGGTTAATAATTTAAAAGTTAAAATTTTCCACCACTTACGTAAAAACACGTATGGTACCATCCATGTTCCGTCACAATAAAAAATTTATCTGCGATTTGGATCCGGTGGGTGAGAAGATACCGAATCTCGACGCAATTGGATTTTAATGGGCGGGTATCTAACTGCGAACCCAGCCAAAAGATACTCTCTTGCCAACTTCTTGTTGCGCTTGAAGACGGCCACGTTTGGCCTCTGGATTATCATCTTCTTCTTCTTCCTCCTCCCTTCCTCTCTTCCTCAACCGCCAATCCCAACGGCTGAAGGGACACAGCCAATGGCCGCTGCCGCCACTATTCCTCTGCTGCAGTTCGTCCCTGCCAAAACCTTACAGGCCAAGCTCCACTCCAACAGGCTCCGACCCATCAAACAGAGAGGTCCATTTCTCCTGAAAGTTCCGATCTTTGAGCTTATTTTTGCTTAATTCGTACCTTTTTTTGCTGATAAGTTTGGTGGGTTTTCAGGAAGGTTTGGGTTGTCTACGATTACATGCTCCTCTTCTAATGGCAGAGAGCCTGATTCTGTCGACATCGGTGTGAAGAGCGTGGAGCGGTTGCTGGAAGAGAAGCGGCGCGCCGAGCTTTCTGCTGGGATTGCCTCAGGAGAATTCACTGTGGAGAAATCTGGGTAAATGATTAGTAGTGATTGAAATTCTGCGTTTAGTTTTGATCTGTTTTGGAAGTTTCAGCTGCTTTCGATCAAATTTGCTTAGTAGTTTGTTTAATGAGTTTTGATTATACTAAATTATAGCAAAAGCAAGATGTATAGGTTAAATTTTACTTAGATGTTATATATTTGGTGGTGAAAAGTCGAAAACTTTTTTTGGTGTTCTTAGTTGTCTGAAGAAAGTCTATTACTTTCTTTTGTTGAACTTGTGGAAGTAGAATATTATCTGGGGAAGCTTTACTTTTGTGTTATTATACATCCACATTTGTGTTTATGCATTCGTAACTCTGAGTCTCTTGAATGTCGTAATTAGTTTTCCATCTCAATTGAAGAGCGGTTTGTCAAAGGTTGGTGTTCCTACGGCGATACTAGATTTCTTGTTCAGCTGGGCTGATGCACCTGAAGACTATCCAAAAATTCCAGAGGCAAAAGGAGCGATCAGTGCCATTCGAAGTGAGGCCTTTTTCATCCCACTATTTGAGCTTTACCTCACATATGGTGGAATTTACAGGCTGAAATTTGGACCAAAGGTTTTTATTTCTAATTTAGACCTCAAACTTAATACATCGTTCCGATGAAAAAAGTTGCTATTCTCAGTGGATTACTTGTTGATTCTTGCTGCAGTCCTTTTTGATAGTTTCTGATCCGGCGATTGCCAAACATATATTAAGGGAGAATTCAAAGGCTTATTCAAAGGTTAATCAATTTGTTAATTTCTTTTCCTGTCCTCTCTCTCTCTCTCTCTCTCTCAATTAATAGATACTTTGTGCACAGGGAATCTTGGCTGAAATTCTAGAATTTGTCATGGGGACTGGTCTCATTCCAGCAGACGGTGAAATATGGCGCAGACGGCGACGTGCTATAGTTCCTGCATTGCATCAGAAGGTAGTTCGTTCCTATCCGTTCTATCTCAGTTGCACCTTTTCAATCTTGTGGAAAAATGTCTCTGTTTTCATTAATTCAATGTTTCCAATAGCAAAACCATCGGCCAAGGCATCCCCAGGACAAAACCTCTTTTAAAATTGCATATCTATATTTGTAGTACAGGGGAAAATTTGGATATTGAACATGACCAAGATCTCTGATATGGAAACCGGAATTAGAATGATTCCGAGAAATTCAATTGTTACTTGCATGAGAAGGTGTTGTGCACCTTGAAATTCTGATGCCACAGTTCTGTGCATCAGAAGGAGCAATTATGAGGACTAGTCATTCTAGAACAGGCATTCAGTTTTTCTCTAGAATGGCAACTCCTCCAAATTGTTCCTTGCAGTTTCTAAGATTAAAATATTTTATACGGTAACCAATCTTCAAAAGTTTGAAGAGCATACTGATTTTGTTCATATATTAAAAAAATTGCTCTTCCTTTATAACAAACACACTTGATTATTAAGAAAACTGCACATAAGAATCTTATGAGCTTGTTCATTTTCTCATGCAATTTGAAGCTACCTCACTGTAAATGTAAACCTTGACACATGCCATAGGAACTATTTGTAACTTTTGTTTAATTGATCAATTTTTATTGTTGATATCTATTTTCATATTTTGTAACTGTAGTATGTAACAGCTATGATTAATCTCTTCGGAGAAGCTACAGACAGGCTTTGCCAAAAGCTAGATGCTGCTGCATCTGATGGGGAAGATGTAGAGATGGAGTCACTTTTCTCCCATTTGACACTGGATATCATTGGCAAGGCACTTTTTAATTATGATTTTGATTCATTAACAAATGACACTGGGATCGTCGAGGTACTCCTTTCCATTCCTTTTGTCTTAGTTCCAGTTATACAAGGTTCTTTCCTGTTTAGCTTCCACTTATCTTCAATGATTCTCATGATCATTTATTGGTGTCAATCTATTTTGGCTAGAGCAGGCTGTGTACACTGTTCTGAGAGAATCAGAAGATCGTAGTGTTTCACCAATACCAGTATGGGAGATCCCAATATGGAAAGACATTTCACCACGACAAAGAAAAGTCTCAACAGCCCTCAAATTAATTAATACTGCACTGGATGATTTGATAGCAATTTGCAAGGTAAAGCCATCTCAATTGTTTGGCAAAACATGTTTCTGATCACACTCACGCGTATGTATTTTCCTTCAAGATCATATATGGCTGGGCAAGGCTGCTAATCTGGTGCATTATTGCTTTATTTTTTATTTTTCATCTGTCATCTGCAGAGAATGGTAGACGAAGAAGAGCTACAGTTTCATGAGGAGTACATGAATGAACAAGATCCAAGTATTCTCCATTTCCTTTTGGCATCTGGCGATGATGTATGTAACCGCAAACTATCAGACATGCTCGTCACTAGCTCATATGGTTGAACTTTTTGCTCCACTGTTTGTAGGTTTCTAGCAAGCAACTCCGTGATGACTTGATGACAATGCTAATAGCTGGACATGAAACATCAGCTGCAGTCTTAACATGGACGTTTTATCTTCTTTCCAAGGTAGCAAATTTGACGCTTGGTAATGGAACTAATTTCTCAATTTTATATTCTTTAGAAAATCGTAATACGGATTTTTTACTTGGAAGTGCATAAATATAACTTCTTGTAAATCTCGGGTGCTTGCTAAATTTTTTACCGGCTGCAGGAACCTAGGGTCATGGCCAAGCTCCAAGAGGAGGTATGTTAATGTCTTAATATTATTATTAATGCATCCATATTTTTACGAAAAGAATCGATAGGAGTCATGAATACTTTAGCCTATATCATACTGTTTCTTTTTAATTATAACACTTCATGTTCTTAGGTTGATTCCGTTCTAGGCGATAGATTTCCAACCATTGAAGACATGAAGAAACTCAAGTATGCAACTCGAGTGATTAACGAAGTAAGCACATGATCTTTTCTCAGAATGATTAGAAGGTTAACCTTCTAATTAATTTTCAATATGATTGTTTGTTTTTGGTTTGACCTTCCTTCTTCCTGTGTAGTCCTTGAGGCTTTACCCACAACCACCTGTGCTAATTCGTCGTTCTCTTGAGGATGACAAGCTTGGAGACTTCCCTATTAAAAGGTCATACCTGGGATCTATTCATATATATATATATATATGTTTTTTTTACAAGAACTCTAGCTTTTTCTTTCTTAAACAAGCATATTTATTTTCAAAAGAAAATTTTCTTCCTCGATAGTATGAAATTATCGTACCTAGCATTCACGGTTTTCTTGGGTTTCATGTATAGATTATTTGATACTATTGGAGAAGCATGCTTCTTATTTTTTGGTGAAGAAAGAGAAGCATGCTTTTAGAAAAACACATACATTGAATATTACTATGCAAAAACTAATTCCTTAATTATATTTTCATTTACAGGAATGAGGATATTTTCATTTGTATTTGGAATCTGCATCGCAGTCCAAAACAATGGGATGATGCAGATAAGTTTTACCCTGAAAGATGGCCATTAGATGGACCCAATCCAAATGAGACGAACCAAAATTTTCGGTAATTTTTCTCTCTGTCTCTTGCATGAATCGGATTCATGTCACAAGATAATGTCTGGTATCATTACACTTTTAAATGTGAAACATACAACAACCACCACCACCACCAAGCCGTATCCCACTAAGTGGGGTCAGTTATATGACTAGAATGCCATTGCGCTCAGTTTTAAATGTGACCTAAAATTATAAAATGGGCTACTACTGCAAATGTTAAGTTTCTTAAGTTACGTATGAAGTTATTCTGTTTTGGAGCTAACGGAGGACTTGGCATAACACCCGACCATAGTGGTGTTCTCGGATTCATACAATTGACCCTACTTAGTGGGATAAGACTTTGTTGTTATCATTGCTTGAAGTTATTCTGTGCTATCTTCGTTGAGATGGGATTGAGGGTTAGATTTTCTCTTGAGGTTTCATGTAAAGTATCTACGTCTTTTTACAGATGAATGACTCTGGTAGTTATTGTTTCAGTTACTTGCCCTTTGGTGGAGGACCACGGAAATGCGTAGGTGACATGTTTGCCACATTCGAGGTAATGTAAATATTTGAACTTGGTGAATGAGAAACACTTACTTTTTCATGCTTCTAACGACGACCGTTTACAAACTTTAACGTTGCTGATTGACAGACTGTTGTAGCTCTTTCGATGCTTGTTCGAAGATTTAACTTTCAAATGGCACTAGGCGCTCCCGAGGTAAGTATCCCTATGTTGTTTCGTGCGTGTATTATTTATAGCCTAACCGGAGCTTTTCGAAGCGTGATTCTTAAACACGGTAGTTGTTAGTGGCGTTGTGAAGAACCACAAGAAGTTTTATGATTCTATCTAACGAATGGTTCTCCGAGCAGGTCAAGATGACAACGGGAGCCACCATTCACACGACGGAAGGGTTGAAGATGACAGTCACTAGGAGGATAAAACCTCCGATCGTTCCCACATTGGAGATGCCTTCATTTGAAGTGGATACGCCCGTCGGTGTCCCAAAAGGGGATTCTGTAGTTGGTCAGAAAGGTGAGGTTTCTTCTGCTCATCCTTGATTATTTTACGTTCCGATGTGTTTGATGTGCTTCGGTTAAATCTTATGCTCGACGATGTGAGGTCTGTAGATAATGCTATAAATTGAGAGGGCGGCGCTAGTTAATAAGATGCAAGTGCATACCCGCGGTCCTGCCACAGAAAAGGGTTGCAAAACTTAGAAGAAAATGTGTTTGTATAGTTCATTTGAAGCATATTTAACTCATCAATATAGTTCTTAATCAGCATTGTTGGTAGAGTCCCCGCGACGAGTCATCGCGCTCTGTAAATCTGTCAATCTACTTTGTTTCTCGTATGAATGAGGATCATTTGCTCGGAATTCTCAACGAACGGGAGGGACTTACTCCAGTAGTTAACTAACTTGACGGAACATACTGATGAACGTATCAAATGTCACCTGATCCTACTCTATCTGAAGCTGCTCAATTTTAGCAAATGCTAAGTTAAACTTCAAGCGAGAGCCAGCAGCCAGAACCTGCTTAGTAGCAACCGAACCCACCCGAGGATCTCGAACACAAAAATTTTAAGGAAAACTAATGTCAAAAGCTTGAAAACTTTGAGTTTTAACGATAATGACAAAATAAGAGGTAAAGTGAATAGTATCAGATTTGACTTTTTAATGTAAAAATGTGGTTTTTTTGTTAAAGTAAACAGTACCGTGGACTTTTCGTTAAAATTCCCAAAATTTTATGCCAGAAAGCAATTAGAACTCAGCCAAAAACCAACCCACAACCTGAAGAAGCAATACAATGCAGAGAGAGCCAGTAGCAGCCAAGCCGACAAAAGGAAAATCCTATCAACCAGGAAACTAGGAACAAGTATTCTACTATTGCAAGCGAAAAGATACTAACATGCTTTCGACGGAGAAGGTGAGGCGATGGAGGTGGTGTAACGTTAAAGAAACCTACGCTTACCAATTACAGGATAGCGGAACTTGACATGGTCTGATTAGTACTGGATTAGTGATCAGCCTAAACATACATGGAATCGTCGCTGTCGAGAATCATGTGTGGGAATTAGCCAAAACATCTCCTGATGGATAATAGCCCTTTTCTAGCTGGCAATGACTGATCGGGTTCGCCATCATCGGATCTATTGCAAGGAAAGTGCCTATGAAAGGCCTTCACCGCTCCCCTGACCCCGTCTTCGTTATCCATGGCCTTCGCAATTTCTATGGCGCACTCTTTAACCTTTCAATGGAGAAGTTACGTACTTGTTAAACTACTGCGTGTGCGGGTGTGAGAATTTTACACGAAAAAATGACAATTCAAAGCACCAGACATATGTGAATCACTTGAAGTTAGAAAAGAAAAAGGTAAGTACCTTTGGATCTAACATAAAGCGTATGGCATCAACCAACTTGTCAAGCGAGAATTCCTCAACCGGGATGGGTGCAGGACCGACACCTCTGGCATGCACCCTCTCACCCCAAAACGGCTGGTCCCCGAAGAATGGTATAATTGTAGTCGGACACTAAAAAGAACACAAGAGTATCACCCATATATAAGCCACTAAATCATTCACAAATATAAGATTTCCTAAGAATAGTATTATCAGTTACCGCAGCTTTCAGACCAGCAGCAGTTGTTCCAGCACCGCCATGATGTACCTAAAACGAATTTCCATATCCAATCGAAACCAAGTTCATTCGGAAAGCAAACAAAGTACAAGCAAAAGCTAAACCAAGGAGGAAAACCAACGACAAAAAAGTGCGTCCAGCTTATGCATGACAACAGACTGCAAGGGAGATACCATTTCGGCACAACTGTGAGAGAATGACGTCGTGCACACCGTGCAGTGAAGTCTCAAACAATCAAAAAGAGTTTAAAAGCAAATTAGAATTTACCACAGCAGAGCATCGTTTGAATAGCCAATCATGGGGGCAATTGTCCACCAAGTACACAGAATCACTAGGTTCTACCGCTGGAAAGACAAATATACAATGGTTTTCAGATGTAAAGAAGCAACAATGTGCTTGTGAAAACCATAGATATAATATTATATGTATAGATTTATCTTGTTTTATTAAAGAATCAAGACTTACAATTACCAAGGCCACCCCAGCCTCTGTTGATAATGCCTCTCTGTCCAGTTATTTCCAGAGCTTGAAGAATAATATCGGTCATTTTCTCCGGTTCTTGAAGAGGCTGTTACAATACCGCAACAAAGGGAAAACATTAGCATGTAGCAAGACAATTTAATAAATGTTCAATCAATTGACCTTAACTATACAATTCACGGGTATCCTCTGCATTAGAAATGTCTCATTCATATCAGATATTGAACAACTGAGCAAAGTGGACAATTTGTCATGAATAAAACCCCCACAGCCTATTGGTTGGGGGGGGACCGACATGATGGCGATCAGTCGGTGGTGATGTGTGGTTTTGGCTATTACGGTTTCGTTGGAAATAAACAAGTAGGTTTTTGAGTGTATGGAGGAAACAACATGAATAGAAAAAGCTGCAAAGAAAAAACTCACCAGGCTACCAAATCCAATATAGACAGGCTCGTCACCAGCTTCAAGCCACTTCGCAAGTGGCTCTGGGGGTTCATAATTTGAAGCAAGGTCAAGAAAACAAAACCCAACAACATCAATATTCGGTCCCCAATCTGCCAGACAAGTGAAAACCAAAGCATATTAGCAAATAATCAGCATACTGTGTTCTCATTTGGTCAAGCTAGTATATTTCTACCCTATCAAATCAAATTCCAGGAGGCTTCTGTAATAATATTAGCACATTATTTCTGGAACAAGAAGCCCATGTATCATGACAAAGCTTATCTAGTTCGCAACCACTATGAGTATTTTGAAATGACCATGTATCTCTATCATATCTTCAGCAAGAAATTCTAACCAATTAATTTTCCATTACGACATTCAATATCAGTTCATTTAACATGGAAGAATCTGTGACTTCATATCAAGTCAATACATGCAAAGTTTTCATCTGAAGGAAAAAGATTTAAATATACGACCTTTAGGTTTGGGAACAAGATGAGGACTCCATATATACCCATGGGGCACGTCAGGTTGAGAACTATAGTTTCCACTTAAATATGTGATAGGTCTCAGCTTCAGCATTTTCTTCCTAAACTCATTTATCATGTCTCGAATTCCTAGCCAAATTAATGCATCGACTATTTGATATGATAGCTGGAAAGAAAAGAAAAATCTGTTTAATTACATAATATAGGCCTGGCAAACAAAAGCATCAATATAATCACTATCAGTAAGGTAGAAAAGGAAATCATATGAGACTCACTCTATATCCAATCGGTTGCGTGACACGGGATAGAGGATGGGGGAATTCATTCGTAGGCCTGAGAAAAGGTAAATAGTTATCAAGCGATAAATCAAACAACACAGAATATTTCATGATTTGCTGTTTTTCTCTCTTTTATCAGTACGTTTAAAGTACATACATATGCATAAACAGTCCATATATTGAATAATCAACTGTGTGGGGTTGAGAAATGTGTCACACCAAAATGAACAATGGACGGTGCAACCGAAATCCAAGAAGATAATCATTGAGCAAAATATATCAGCATTTGATCTAACACAGAGACAACACTTACGTCCATGGCATTGTGAAGAATATATGAAGCGGTACTTTTAGTGCCTCAGCGACATGAGAGTGCCCTGGACAAGTGTTGGCAAAGTTAGGAGTCCACTAAATGATTTCAAACAATACATATATTCATTCTTCTTCTGATATCAAATAAACCATGCAGATAATATATAAAGATATTCTCGTAATTGTTATCTCCAAAGAACATAGGCATGGAGACTTTCGGAGCTTTTCAAGTGGTTAAGGCTATTACCCCATGCATCCATCATCATTGTAAGTGGAAGACTGCCTTAAACACATCAATATGTGCTGAAAGGTTCTTCAATTATTTCAACGGTAACAGAAACCACAAACACATAAACACCTTGTGCTCTTATTAAAGCCAAATATTGCGTGTGGCCAATTCAATTTTTTGAAGAATGATTGATGCTTAAAAACCCAGAAGAATATTATAAGATGATGAAATCTAACCATAGGCTGGTGGGTTGGCAATTATTGCTTCTGCTTTAAATGGAACTTTGGAATCGGGATCAGGTTCCTTGCATGCAGGAAGTAAAGAAAAAATTATTTCCCTTAACTGCTGTCGCTGAATTGATATTTCCGAAGGTCCTGATGGCAAGAAACCTTTATTCTTGACCATATCTGTAAAGAAACAAATGCATAGTATCAATACAAAACCCATAAAAAGACAGGCATGTTTACGTTTGTGTGTTTTTTAAGTAACATACAAACAAATTATCCTGAATCATATGTGTTTATACGTCCAAGATTGCTTTGTAATGATCCAGGCAAGGAGAACAGGGTACATGAAAATTACACCCTCAATGTCTAAATAAGTTTGCAAAACAAGAATTTTAGCAATTACCAAATGATTAAATAACCAGACCAAAAACTCATCATTAAATTATGCAGGGTACGGAAAAGAAAACAAAATCTGCACTTACAACCAGCAAGAACTTTTGGATCTCCACCTAAAGGATAGAACTCCAACCCAGCAGTAAGGACAAAATCTTTGAAATTTGCATGAGTCGCTAGCCTAACCCTATGGCCATATTCCTGCAAGCAAACACATCCATCAATTCACAAAAAGTAAGGGGTAAGCTTCGCAAGAAGAGCTATATTTTCTTTTCACCCATCGCCTCTGAAATTTCCACCATGAAAAGTCAAATTTTCAAAGGACTCAACTGAGAACACTAAGAAACCCGAACACGAGCATATATCCAGCAAAAGATCACAAATTCTCTCACAAATGATGTCAACATTGCTAAGTAACTAATTACACGAAAAATCATGAAACATTTCACTGATAAGTTCTAAATAGCTAAAAGAAAATCAATGCAAGACCTGCAAACGTTTTCCAATGGCAACAAACGGCTGCACATCTCCTCGCGTGCCGACAATAAGCATTACAATTTGCAACGGAGGTATATCTCGAACTTCAGCTTCCGTTTCGCCGCAAGCTTCTGCACCAGAAGCTGCCTCACTGTGAGCAGCTCCAGTTCCGAAATCCAGATACTGTGGCTTAATATCTCCCGGAACGTCAAATTGCACCGTTCCGTCATCTTTCACTGTTGCCAGCTGCTTTATATATTTCCGCTGCAGAATTTCATAGTAGTTCCAATTAAATCCTAGAAATTTCAAGTAGTAAATTCTAAAAAGATCAAATTTGAAAAACTTAAAAAATTTTAATTCAGTACCTTTTTTCTAAAAGGAGTTCTTTGATCGAAGAGCTTGGCGAGAGTTACAGACAACGCCTGGTTCTGACTCAATCTCGCGCTGGCAGTGAGTTGACTCGAACCGGACGATGTACGGACGGCGGATGATGATTCTCCGGAATTTCGCTCTGTTTGCACATCCCTCTCCAACTTCCCTACGAAATCCGCATTTTTCCACAAATTCGAAACCAAAGTTACGAAAAAGACAATGCCGATGAAGAAGAAGACTAAGAAGGCGACGACGGAACCTGAGGAAGGGGTGGCATATTCGTCATTAGGATTGCGAGGGACTTCGGCTTCGAAAGAGACGGACATGTCGCTAGAGCTGCCGGAATGGCTCCGGCGGTCATCGGCGGAGGACTCCATCATGGATTCGCGGCGAGATAGATTCTCTCTCGAGGTTTGGCGATGGATGGGGAAGGTACAGGAATGCTTTTTCTGCTTCGAGTTGTTGGTGCAGTAGGAAAGCACAAAGCGAGAAAAGAGAAGAGAAGAGGACAGAGATGTCACGTGGAGGGAAAAGAGTTGGAATTGCCTACTGGACACGTATCCCATCGAGAAGGCGCCAAATACTACCAGAGAAAAAGAGTTAACTACCGATTTACCTCCTGAATTATCACCAACTTTCGATTTGCCCCTTGAACTTTTTAATTGGAAAATTAAGGACTTAAACTAATTTTTTTGGCCAATTTGCCCCCTGCTGTTAATTTTTCATTTATTCCATCCAAATTTCTGTTAAATGGAAGCATATGCACAACATGTGTGGGTAGTTCAGTCACTTCATTCTTTAAAATAATTGAAAACCTTAGATTTCTAAAATATAAACTTATGCAAATATGTGTGATTCTATAGCTTTTCTGTCTGAAGGTCTAGTGAAATGACGCTTTTGTCCACAAATGAGAGTTATGTGGTTTGCACATGATAAGAGTTAACGTTAATTTGGATGAAATTTATGAAACTAACGGTAGGGGGGAAATCGGCCAAAAAAATTAGTTTAAGTTCTTAATTTTCTAATTAAAAAGTTCAGGGGGCAAATCGAAAGTTGGGTGATAATTCAGGGGGCAAATCGGCAGTTTACTCCAGAGAAAAATTACCGGCACATGAGGTGGTATATTAAGTGCTATAGAGTTTAGGATTTAAGGTTTAAAATATATGCGTTAAAATGTTAATAATATAAAATATAAAATTTTTCACCACTTACGTAAAATCACGTAGTTTATCATCGTGTTTAGGGTTTAATGAAAAATTTCTCAAATACCACGTATTAAACGCGACCTAACCACCGACCACACCGGGAAAAATGGATTTAATTTTTACCGCGAATCCGGGTAGGATGAAGTGATGGGAGCGTCACGGGTCCGGTTCAAACCCGATTGAATGGGGATTCAAATCCTACAGAAGAGAGAAAGAGTGAGAGTGGCTCGAAGCACGCCACGTGTATTAACCGCGCACTCAGCACCCATAGCCAAACTCATACCGCTTGTTCTTCTCTCTCTACTCTGTACACTCTGCAACTTGCCCTCTCACTCTCAGTCGAGGCCTGGGGCAATGGCGGCGGAATCCATAGCAAGGCTACCGTGGACAATCTCCTCCTCCATCGACCACCGCCTTCCGCGGCGCGGAGGTTTATTCTGTGCCTCTCACAGTCACACCTTGGCAGCTCCAGCCAGAAATTGCGTCTCGACGCAATCCGATCTGCTGCTCTCCAAGAGCTCGCTTCGGAAATCCCTGCCCCCGCTAAAGGCGTTGGTGGCGTCGGAAACTTTGGATGTTGCAACGACGCCGATCAACGGCGATGATAAAGTCGGAGTCTTGCTGCTTAACCTCGGTGGGCCCGACACTCTCGACGACGTCCAGCCCTTCTTGTTTAACCTCTTCGCCGACCCGGTAACTTCCTCGGGCTTTTATTTTCGGGATTTTTTGAGTTTAATTTCTGAATTTAGTAACTTTAAAGTGTGTGAATTTGAATTTAGTAACTTTATAAGTGTGTGAATTTGAATTTAGAAAATTTTAAGTGTATGAATTTGACTGTAGTGAATTTAAAGTGTGTGAATTTGAATTTAGTAACTTTGCAAAGTGTGAATTTGAATTTAGTAACTTTAATGTGTGTGGATATAAATTGGAACTTATTGTATTGGGTAGTGATTTTGAATGTGTGTGGAAAAATGGGCAGGATATCATTAGACTGCCGAGGTTGTTTCGGTTTCTTCAGAAGCCATTGGCGCAATTTATATCCGCACTGAGGGCGCCAAAGAGCAAAGAAGGCTACGCCTCCATTGGTGGCGGCTCTCCTCTGCGACGAATAACTGATGCACAGGCATGAACTCTCTAACTTTCTCTTCACATTGACCTTAAGTTCTGTTAAATAACTTAAATTGCATGCATATCGTAGAAAGTGTAGCTCTTTGAGCTTGATGGAAATGCTGTCTAATCTGAATTTCATTTGGTTCCCCTTTTCTTCATTCAGGCAGAAGAGTTGAGGAAGGCCCTTTATGCGAAGGATGTCCCGGCAAAAGTGTACGTGGGAATGCGTTATTGGCATCCATTTACTGAAGAAGCTATAGAAGAGGTATTTTGGTATGCTTTCATCTTGATTTTCGATGTATCTGTCAATGATATCTGAGTTATGTACTTATTAGAGTTTACGTTGTCTTGTACAATAAACAATATATAGTTTTTGTTGAATCATCCCACTTCAATTTTTGGGCGGTGAAGTTGTATGGCACATAATGTCCAGCGATGTTGTATGGCACATAATGTTGGGCGGTGAAGCATCAACAAGTACACAAAATGGGTGTAGCGGAGATGAGGATGCTTCGTGGGATGTGTGGGCACACGAGAAAGGATAAGATTGGGAATGAGGATATCCGATGTAAAGTAGGAGTAGCCAAAATTGTAGGAAAGATGAGAGAAAATCGGCTCCGGTGATTTGGACATGTGCAAAGAAGGCCGAATGACGCTCCGGTTCGAAGATGTGACTACGGGACAGAGGTTCAGGGCCGAAGGGGTAGAGGAAGACCTAGGAAAACTTTGGAAGAGACTCTAAGAAAAGACTTAGAGTACTTGGATCTAACGGAGGACATGACACAAAACCGAGCGTAATGGCGTTCTAGGATTCATATAGCCGACCCCACTTAGTGGGAAAAGGCTTTGTTGTTGTTGTTGTTGTTGTTTATCCCACTTCAATTTTTGCTTCACAAATTACTTGAGACATGCTCTTCTGTCTTTAACTATGGTGCCACTTAATAATAATGGTTGTTCCGCACTGTTGTCAAGTCTTAGGTTAAGTTCAATTGAACAGGTAACATGCAAATGTGTTATGAGATTTAGATTTTCGATTGGGGTTAAAAGTCCATGGATCTGGTTATTGATTTTAAAAATATGTTGTAGATTAAAAGAGATGGAATTACAAAGCTTGTTGTCCTTCCACTTTATCCGCAATTTTCAATATCGACTAGTGGTTCAAGCCTTCGGCTCCTGGAGAGTATATTCCGGTGATGTCTAACTCTAACTATGTTTTCCCATATCAGTGCCTCAAATTATAATCTTTAAACTGACCCGATAAGTTCATCAGGGAGGATGAATATCTTGTCAACATGCAGCACACAGTTATACCATCTTGGTACCAGCGTGAAGGGTACATAACGGCAATGGCAAATTTGATTGAAAAAGAGCTTCAGCGTTTTGACAGCCCTGAGGAGGTACTGTTAAATCCTTCTTTTTTGCATTGATTTCTTTTTTGCATTGATTTTCATGTCTCTAAGTGAGTTACTTATCCTGCATTTTGAACTAAGTGAAAGAAAAACTACCTCTTAGGGTTTTACAATTCTCATGGCAGACAAAAGGTTCCTTTAATATCTATTTAGTGGGGGATATTGGGAATCGTCTTATTATGCCATGTTTGCTAATAAGTTTTCGAAAGAGGCTGCGCAAAAAGCATACTATCTCGCTGTAACTTTCCTTTCTTCTATTAGAAAGTGACACATTTGGATATGGTTTCTTAGCGGTTGAGTGTTACTGTAGTGAATTTTTAGTGCTGCGGGAGACTACGGTTATGTCCTCTTCAGTTTTGGTGTATAAATGTATGGTATAATATTCAATTTTTTTCTGTTCTGCTGTAGCTTTTCTCTTACTGACACCGAAGTTCCAAAACGAAATTACTTGTCATATCATACTGGTGTAAATGTCAGTGTGCTTATTTAGTAATGTGCATTGCAGGTAATGATATTCTTTAGCGCACATGGGGTGCCACTTGCATATGTGGAAGAGGCTGGTGATCCATACAAGGCTGAGATGGAGGAATGCATAGATTTGATAATGGAAGAGTTGGAAACGAGAAAGATAACTAATGCGTACACCCTTGCCTATCAGGTGTGTTTGTGCTTTTAATTTGATCTAATTTTAATTATCTTCACATTTAGAACTATCAATAGTTAAAGTTCACTTTATCTAGAGCTCTTTTTGTCTTTTAAATTCCAAACATTCTGGTAAGTATGTTCAAATGAAGAGAAGAGTCATGGAACAAATCAAAACATCATAATATATGAGAAGAAAGGGAAACTAGAACTTGCTTAGTGCAGATGCGGTGGCCATTGAGTTGTGACTTGTGTCCGCAGTGATGGAGAGGTGGAAGAGTGCAAAGCAATTCTGGACAATATATTTATGTAAATAAAAGAAGTAGCAGTTGTTGTAACCCCTTATGCGCATGTATACTTAAGAGTTTTTTTCTTAAAGAAGTACATCAGAAAGTGATCCTTGATAAACAAGCAAACAAAATACTAATTCAAAATCGGAAATAATATCTAAATAAATCCTAGGAAACATGAATAGGTATACGTTAGGGCTTTCATGAATAGGGATAGGTTTTTCAAATATCATGTACTTATCATTTTTTGTTTAGATTTATTTATTGTATTCCATATCTGTCTTATACATCCACGATATATTCTCTGTGACTTGGTTGATAGTTAGTGAATGTTCTTACAGAGCAGAGTTGGACCTGTGGAGTGGTTAAAACCTTACACGGATGAGACAATAATTGAGCTTGGGCAGAAGGGAGTTAAAAGGTTGCTGGCAGTCCCAATAAGGTAATTGTTGTCATCTTTTGTTTCCCCCATTGCTAGCTGTATATTAACTGCATCCTCTCTCATATTGTGGAAATTAGTTCCGTGTCATTAAACCCATTCCACATTCGAACATATGTATGAATTGTGGAAATTAGTTCCGTGTCATGAAAGTTTGATGCCTGATCCACAGCTTTGTCAGTGAGCATATTGAAACTCTAGAAGAAATCGATGTTGAGTACAAAGAATTGGCTCTGAAATCTGGTATAGAGGTTTGGGGGCGTGTTCCCGCACTAGGATGTGAACCCACCTTCATTTCCGACTTGGCAGATGCGGTGATTGAGAGCTTGCCATATGTTGGAGCTATGGCAGTCTCACATATTGAAGCTCGACAGGTAAACTCTCTCCTGAACAATGTTGTGTCGTGTGTGCCGTCTGCATGCTTGAGTGCATGGGTGGTGGCAGAATCTGACTTAATAGTATCAGTTTTCATTTGTTTGTCCCTGCTGTTTTATAGTATCAGTTTTCATTTGTTTGTCTTTGGATGGTGGTTCGGGTATTTTATTGCAGTCTTTAGTTCCACTTGGGAGTGTGGAAGAGTTGTTAGCGACATATGATTCACAGCGTAGGGAGCTACCGGCACCTGTGACAGTTTGGGAATGGGGTTGGACAAAAAGTGCCGAGACTTGGAACGGAAGAGCAGCTATGTTGGCAGTGGTGGTTCTTCTGGTCCTAGAAGTCACCACCGGGGAAGGGTTTCTGCACCAATGGGGTATATTGCCCTTACATCGTTAAATCTAACCTCTATATCTTTCTCCCCTCTCCCTTGCCCTCTTCTTCTTTCTATATCTTACTTAAATGTACCTCTTCATAGCATCGAGCCTCCTTTTTTCTCTCCTCCCATACATGTAAGTTACATACTGATGCATTTGAGTCCCGCTTACACGATCGGATTTCAGCTGTCCAGGTGCAGCACTCTGTGGGGAAAAAAGTTGAAAACTTGTATGATGTATAAATCGTCTGTAATTCGTATCGCACAATGTTCTGTGAAAGTTTTGAGCTCTACTTTGACACGTTTTCTTGGGGTTGAACTCTCGTTGTTCAATGGCAAGAAGCTAGCCTAAATTCAAATATTCAAAGCAATTTGTGCACTTAGGCAGATGATTACTGGTTGAGTAGGAACCAACCTTACATGGTTTTTGGTTATTTTTGTCTAGTTTGGACGTTAATGTGCGCACATTGTTATATATATATATATATATATATATATATATATATATATGTATGTATATATGATGATTATTTTTAACTGTTGGATCGAATATATGTATATATATGTATGTATATATGATGATTATTTTTAACTGTTGGATCGAATGTGAATAAAAAAAAAGGTCGTACTCAGTGCACAAGACTCCCGCTTTACGCAGGGTCTGGGAGAGGTGAATGTCGGTTAGCCTTATCCCCATTTATGAAGAGATGTGTGAATGAATCGAAAAAAATCAAAGCACATAAATTAACAAGAGATATGTGAGAGGTAAAAATGTGTATGGATAACATCACTCTGACTAAACTACAGCAAACTAATATTAAACCGTGCAAGATAGAGAGGAGAAAGTCACATGACACGAGCATAATCTCACAGTATTGAGGACGGTATATCCATTGATGTTAGGTATACAATATTATATATCTATTCTACCATTTTCACAATATGTTACCGTTATATGATTCGTTTGGAAGTTCTTTTAAAATAATTGAAAATGTTTTTAGTGAAATTGATTTTGAGTTCCAAAAGCACTTTATGTGTTTTTTGACAGAATGTCAGATATGTGCTTTTGCAGAAAGCACTTAAAGTGCTTTTTGAAAATCCACTTTAATTTTTAATAAAAATTAATTTTTAAAAAAAATTTCACTCAAAAAATTTTCAATTATTTAAAACAATTTCAAACGAGCTCGTAATATGCTCTGATAGTTCTTAACAAGTGGATGTTCTTTCACAACTAGTGGATGTTCTTTCACATGAATAATTTATCATACGTTGATCTATGTTTAGTGTACATTTTTTTGTACTTTTTGTACTCACATTAAGTATTAAACGTGATATTAATCATTCTTTAATATAAGAGAGCAATTTATATAAAATAAATTTAATTAAATATTATATTATATTATTAAATTAAAAAGTCACGGTGTCCCTTCTCTCGTGGTTGGGAGACGTTTAAAATTAGAAGCCGAAAAAGACGAAAAAAGAAGAAACGTTTCGATGAGTCACTCTGTCACTTCACACTTCTCAGTCACTGATAGATGCTCTCTCTCTCTCCTCTGTCTTTCTACTGAGGAACAGCAAGTAAAGCACTCAATTTTTTCTACAGAAAACAGAGGTCTCACCGGCGGTGGGTGCACTGCTTCGACGTCGTTTTGCTCGGCGAGCTCCGGTTTGATCCATCTCTCTTTTTTTTTATCCGATGCTTTCTATTCAAGTGTATGTTTGTTTGTGGAAATTGCACAATTTTCCTTTGATTGCTTCGTGAAAAATGAGGTAATTTTTTAATTGCTTCGTGGAAAACGAGGTTAGTGCTGGAAAACGAAAACAAATTTGGAAAATTTAAACGGGAATGATGCTTGGCTGCTCAATGGAACATTTTGGGTGCTTAATTAGCAAACCCATGTGAGAAAATGTGTGTAAATCGCCCTCGAATTGCCAGAGGACATGGAGTTCTCTGCAATTTTTTAGCTTAGAGAGAAGTTCATGGATTCAAAGTTGAATATTTAAGTAAAAGTTGTGTTCTTGGAATGTTTTATGGGTTTTGATTTGGTGGAGCATGTGTTGTTTATAAACAGGTATGCTTTCGTGTTGGGTTTTGGTTAAAGTAAAAGTTGTGTGCTTGGTTGAATTTCGAGCTCTTCCTTGAAGTTCATGAATTCAAAGTGGAATACTAAAGTAAAAGTTGTGTTCTTGGAATGTTTTATGGGTTTTAATTTGGTATAGCATGTGTTGTTTGGAAACAGGTATGGTTTTCGTGTGCTGGGCAGTGTAAGTGCGCGTGTTTCGGTTTTGGTTTTGAGTAAATTTTGAATTTCTAGCTCTTCCTTGAAGTAAGAGTTGTGTTCTTGGTTGAGTTTCCAGCTCTTCCTTGAAGTTCATGAATTCAAAGTGGAATATTAAAGTAAAAGTTGTGTTCTTGGAATGTTTTATGTTTTTAATTTGGTATAGCATGTGTTGTTTGGAAACAAATATGCTTTTCATGTGCTAGGTAGCGTAAGTGTGTGTTTCGGTTTTGGATTTGGGATAAATTTTGAATTGGCAGCGCTTCCTTAGCATATAGAACCAAGGATTTACAGTAAAGTAGTCAAATTCTACATGGACGCATGGACTATAGGGCCTATGTTTGACGACAATGAATATCATGAATATGAAGAAAAAAGAGACGGAATATATGAAAAGTAGAAGTGGGAACAAAAATCTCGTTTTTTCAAATTTAAATGCTTTTAGCTAGCAAATATTAGCGCTTAAAAATGCCAAGTACCATTGGTATCTGCTGCAGTCCTTGTAAGACTGATCGCCATTTGGGAATAGAATGGGAATCTATCTTTTGCCTTCATCTGTCATTGTATTGTGTTTTATATGAGTTTTAAATTGCTTTTTAGTTAACTAGATCTTCTGCCTTAACTTGTGCAGGTTTTTCGGTGTTGTAAATGTTAATGAATAGTGGAAGAACTAGATATTTCATGTTGTAGAAGTGTGTTTTTGGATGGGGTCCTAAGGTTTGGAATTGCTGCAAGATTTCTCTTGAGAAGCTTCAATGTCAGGGACCAAAGTGATTTTAACGTACAAGCGAAAGCGGCAATCAAGGAAAGGTCTTGTACAGGGACATGAGTGCCATAATGCTCTTTTTGTTGCTCCGAGTGATACTTCTCCATGTAGAGAAGACTTGCAAGTTCATTTGATTGAAGAGCGCTCAGCCAAAGACTATAGCAGACTGGAGGATAAGAAACAAGTTAAAGTACCTGAGCCGAGACAATTGACAATTAATTCCCATAAATTTCTGACAAGTCTTGATGAGGGTCCCTCCGAAAGGGATACGTATGGATCCTCTTCTATGGACCTATCATTGGAGAATAAGTCAAGTCACCAGAAAGTTGGCTCGTCCTCAAATACTAATAGTGAAGCGTTGGTTGATGATAATAATCTTGGAGGGAGGTTAGTTTGCGGATTGACAGGGAATGCCACTGAAATGACTGCTGATTTTGTCCGACCAAAATCATTATCATCATCATCATCATTTGAAAGAAAAAGTGGCTCTAAATGTGTTGGTATATCGCTAAGATTGAATGTATCAAACCTGGAAGACACTGATTCACTCTCTAAAAATAAGGTAGATAGCTCATGTGGTGATTCAGCTGTGCAGACCAAGTCGACTGCCCCATTGATTACCTTCTGCCGAAGGAAAAAAAGAAGAAAGGATACAGATAAGTCTGATATACGAAGCAAATCTGTGCCTGTGGAAAACAATTGCTCATTGGTAACCAAATTGAGTAATTCTGTTTGTGCTAATGCCGCTTCGTGTGACGAAACTTCCCCTGAAAACTGCTCAGTAAATCATGAGACAGATTTGAAGCACTCCATAGACGAAGCTCAAGTTTTGTCAAGTGATGATCTTAAAGCAACAGTAATCCCTCGTTTAGGCAGATCACTTCCTTACTTGGACCTGTCTGTTATCCCAACTGGTAAGACTTCATAAATTTCTAGGCATGCATTATTGAACCAATAACACTATTAATTCACATTCCTTTTTTACTGACAAGACATTCTTACTAGCAGATTCATGCGGCACTGTGGACTGCAATTTTGACTTAAACTTGAGTCCTGCTAAGCAACCTGACACCGATGCACCAAAAGCTGTGGGGGACTCGTTGGATTCTACTAGCAGAAATCATGCCTTTGTATTACATAAACCGTCTCCTCCACAAATGTCGGCTGAGAGAACTGGAAGAGTGGAAACTCAAGCTTCACAATTACACAGAGATCGATTTGAATGTTTAGAAGTTGGTGCCAGCTGCAAAGATGATGATGATAAAGTTGGTTCTCTGATTTCCGAGGAGAATACTTCCAAAAATAAATGTCTGCAGGTACGTTTTGTAAGTCTTCTTGTTTGAATATTTGGGGATAGTTTGCCTGCCAAATAATTTTATTTTATATCATTTCAGCTGTTTCCAGAAGAAAAAACCAGTGGCATTTTTTGCCCGGTGATAACACATCCTGAGGTAGTTGCTTCTGTAGCTTCAGAACGGAGAAAAGTTCTTCAGTTGGGAGGCCAACATGATCAACCAAAACAAGGATCTCCTATGTTTTTGGGTCCATCCTTAACCGAAAAACCTATATTTGCAGGATGTGCTGCCAATACCTGCTTCAATACATCTCCCTTCTTGAACTCCATCATTAGAACAAGAGAATTCATCCGAGATGCAGCGCTCCAATCTTCTTCAAGCCGTTTATCATCAGTTTTGAGGCACAAGCTTATGCATGACGGTGTAGTAAGCCAAGCAAGAGCTTTGAATGAAAGGGGTGGTTTTCATGACAAATATATGCCATATAATACCATGTGGTCTGAAGAAGAGTTGGATTTTCTATGGATGGGTGTGAGAAGATATGGACGGGACAATTGGAATGCTATGTTAAGGGATCCAAGATTGCACTTCTCACCACGGAGGGTGGCAAGGGACTTAGCTGAGCAGTGGGAAGAGGAACAATCAAAACTTTTTAGTGGCATTTGTGTTCCCCAATTGGGATGCAACTACTTCTCGGGTCCAAAAAGAGGAATATGGAAAGAAAATACAGCAGACATGACCCAAGTTTCACTTGGCGATGTTGATGCTTGTAGAGGAGGTGATGTCTCGAGGAGGCCACCATTCAATTCGGCTTATACTTGCAACAATGGCAATGAAAACCACCGGAGGCCTCTTGGTTACACAAAGAGGACATCTCGTTTTGAAACGGGAAAGGACACACATGAGGATGATGAATTTAGTATTCTAAATAGAAGTAGAAGTATTCGGAGGGGCAAGTTGTTATCGACTGATGTCCCCACAACTTGCACTGGACCACAGGGAAATTTGCCCCACTGGCTCAGAGAAGCTGTTGCTTCTCCACCCCCAACTGTGCCTTCAACTGTTTCATCAATTGCTCATTCAGACAGGTTGAATGTCACCCTTGCTGGTTTTGATCATCGGGAATCACATTTGGCACCAAGGAATGAAATGCAGGTAAATGCTCCTCTTTTCAACTATTCACGACTTGGGACGGGGAAACAGAGAAGGGATCATTCTCGTCGTGCGGGTAAACAAGACAACGTAATTATTATAGCCAGCGATGGTTCTTCTGAAGAGACTATATCTGATGATCGTAGGTAGCTGGGCAGGTGGAAATCTGTTTGTTAACGGGAAGCTGTACAAAGGTGGTGTACACAGTTTGTTAGTCAGGCAATTTGTTAACGAATTTTAGTCTTTGTAATTCCACTAATAGAAGTTTAATACCACTAGACCGCAACTTCAGAAATTTAAAATATTTGATACGACTCTGCTAAATTTCAACAAAATATGAACTTACAAATCTCGTCGTACTGAATGGAACTACAAAAAACTAGGGAAGCAAATTAAAATAGTTGTGTATCAAATTCAAAGCGATGCAGATTCAATTTCCATGGGGAAATCAATATTTTGCTCTATAGGATCTTCTCGGAACGTTTCATGGCATCTTTGAGCGTTCCTCAATCCTTCCAACTCTGTTGATACCTCTTTCATACTAGGCCTCTTTGCCCCATTCAGCCTCAAACACCGTTTTGCAAGCTCTGCAATCGTGCGAATTTGCTCAACATCTGCATCTCTAGCCACTTGAGGATCCATAATCTGAACGAGTTCATCTTCCCTCGTCAATGAAATGAACGATGCAACCAGGTTTTCTCCTTCATGTTTTGCAAAAGAATATGGGGTGTGTCCAGTTAGTACTCCACGAGCGTTAACTCCGAAGCTGTAGTATCACTTCTGTCTGTGAACTTACAAGATTGGAAGTACTCGGGATCCATGTACCCGAAAGTCCCTGTACTTGTGTCGTCAAGTGAGTTTTGTCAAGGGAACTGATTTGGAAGTCCCAAGTCGGATACTTTAGCACTGTAGTTGTGGTCTAGAAGTATGTTAGACGACTTGATGTCTCTGTGATAGATGGGGATTGAAGCTCGCTGAGTGCATATAAGCTATTGCTCCGGCAACTTCACAAGCGATCCTTAAACGGCATTCCCACGAAAGTGATGATCGGTGGAGTCTTTCTTCTGAAGGATATGATGGGAGAGAGTTCCATTAGAAATATACTCATATACTAGCAATGGAACCTCCGTCTCCAAACAACAACCAAGCAATTTCACGATGTTTCGATGATTGATTTGAGTTAGAATGACAACTTCATTGATGAATTGCTCAATCTGATTTTCGTCCATCGCCCTTGACCTTTTAACCGCTACTATGGTTCCGTCAGGTAACATCCCTTTATAAACTGTGCCATAACCTCCTTCCCCTAGAAACCGGCTCTCGTTGTAGTTATCTGTTGCTCTCTCCAACTCCTCTGCAGTAAATAGTTTTGCATTGCTACTAATTCCGTAAGATGAGAATTTTTCTCGCAACAAGAAGCCCCCATTTTGCTTGAAAAATTTCTCCTTACGGGTTTTGGTTCTCCTTCTCTTCACGCATTGATATAAATAGTAGCATAAAAGGAACACGCATATGAATGCAAACCCAATCCCAATACCTGTCAAGTAAATTAGACAACAAAGAAAAACCAATTAGCTCACGTCAAGTTGAAAATTCGTACTACTCAGACATAGTTGTTAGAAGAATGTAAAGTCCGACATTTGAAACGTGACAAAATAAAATACGAGATATAATGAATAATTTTACTACTAATTACATCGATGCATTTTTGTACATCGGCTGCTAGACTGTAAGATATAGAGGATAGATATATATACCTAGCAGTGTGACCAACTTCACCGGAAACTTTTTGCCGTTGCGAATACAATTGACATATTCTAGGATACTCCCATTTACAACGAAATTCCCATCAGAAGTAGGGCATTTCTTGCTTTTGAGGGGAACAAGAACAGTTGTATTAGGGTCGATAATGCTGTCCCGTGACAACAAATTTGCCTCTAGTATACTTTGACTGTTGACCCCAAATATCTCTCCTATTCTTGCAATTGTGTCGTTCATGGCTACTATATATGTCAGCAGGGATGTAATCCCATCTGCAGTTTGCTTTTCGCTCGGGCAAGCGCATCTCATCGGAACTGTTAACACTGCTCCCACCGTAATATTTACAGGTTCATAATAGTTCTGACCTATCATAGACTGACATGTAGCCAGGCCTTGGAAAGTGTAGACGGCCGTCTTATAATACGTATCGCCTTTTGTCACGGTGTAAGTAGAGAAGTGCTGGGAGATACTGCCCGAACATGTACAAGAAACTGGAACTACAACCAACCTGTTAATTGGAATCTTGTCACTTGCTGAAACCTTGTTAACTGAGGCAATCTCTGAGGCTTCGGAGGCGAGGAGAGAGGCGATGCTGATGGCGGTGTCATGGGGCGGCTGCGATCTGAACGTGACGAAGGACTGGCAGGACTTGACACTGGAATCACAGAGGTACCCTTTTGATATGGGGCTATCATCGCAGTACTCTGTGCTGTTGAGGTATACCTGCTGAGCGTGTGCTGGTTGATAAAATAGGGACATACACAGGCAAGCATAGAGGAAATCATAGAAGGAAGATAGGTTCATTGTACGTGGTTAATGGAATTTTAGTTTTTCTTTCGAAATCTTAGGGCAAGCGACAAGTAAGCAAGCTAAGTTAGCTTGAGCTCTTGATCCTTTACTAAATCTATATATATATTAAAAGAAAAAAAGAAAAAAAAAAAGAAGAGAGCTTAGGTTTGGCGTGAATTTCCCACTGATGTCCAAACTTGTCAAGGTCGGCAATATTCTGGTCTAGTCAGAATAGTCAGCTTGAAGATTTGGCATGAGAATTCGGATCCTTGTCCGATTCGTTTTGTGAGGATCCAAAAATATGTAAATCGTGTTCGTTCATCATATATCGTGTTATTAAAAATTATTTTAAATATTTTTATTTAAAATTAAACACAAACAATACTTGATAAAAACTGACCGCACAACATACGATGAACGGACATATTCACGAATCCTTAAGATCCTCACAAAAGGATTCGGAAAGGATTCTGTTGGTCTCGCCGAATCCTCCTTGTGAAGATTCTAGGAATCTTTCAGTCACGTACGTTCATCGTATAACATGCAGTAAGAAATTATTGTAAATGTTTTACTTAAATTAAATATAAGCATACTTTACGAAAATTAATCTCACGATGTACGATAAATGTCACATCTCGGTGCACTCAGAAATTATTGTAAATTTTTTATTTAAAATTAAATATAAGCATACTTTACAAAAATTAATCGCACGATGTACGATAAATATCATATCCCTGCCTGGGACGGACCACTTCCTGAGCCCACTCCATCACCGTAGTAGGATATTGTCCGCTTTGGGCCCCGATTACGCCCTCACGGTTTTGTTTTTGGGAACTCATGAGTAACTTTCCAGTAGGTCACCCATCATGAGAGTGCTCTGACCTCCTTCTCGCATAACTTCGAAGTTTCTACGGAATCGGAAGTCAGTGAGCTCCCAAAAGGTCTCGTGCTAGTTCTGATTGATAAAATAGGGACATACAGGCTTGCATATAGGAAATCATAGAAAGAAAATAGCTCCATTATATGTGGTTAATGAAGTTCTAGTTTTTCTTTCGAAATCTTAGGGCAAGCAATAAGTAAGCAAGCTAGCTTGAACTCTTGATCCTTTACTAATAAATCCCCAAAAAAAAAACATATATATATAGAGAGAGAGAGAGAGAGAGAGAGAGAGAGAGAGAGAGAGAGAGATTAGGTTTGGCGTGAATTTCCTATTGATGTCCAAACTTGTCAAGGTCAGCAATATTCTGGTCTAGTCAGAATTGTCAGCTTGAAGATTTGGCATGAGGATCCTTGCAGAGAATCCGGATCCGGATCCCGAGGATTTCAAGATACGTTCATCTTACATCGTGAGATCAAAAATCATTTTAAATTTTTTTATTTAAAATTAACACAAACAGTATTTGACAAAAATTGACCACACGATATAGACAAATGCGATTCACAAATCCTTATAATCGTCACCAAAAGGATATGGAGAAGATCGTGTTGGCCTCACCAGATCCTCCTTGTGAAGATCTCAACAATCTTTCAATCACATCCGTTCATCGTATATTATACGATCAGAAATCCTTGTAAAATTTTATTTAAAATTGAATATAAACATACTTGACGAAAACTAGATGCACGATGTACGATGAACGATGAATGGATGCGATTAGAGAATTTTTGTAATCCTCACAAAGAGTATTTCTCTCTTGAAGATTTGAAAGGGATTGTCACGTCTCATTTGTCATTGGTGGTACATGTCGAGTCATTAAATTGTAAGAAAGTTCTAAAGATTTGCTAGCACGGATGAGGATCACGTCCGGATCCAAATGGTAGGGATCTTAAAGATCCTTACATCATAGCCATTCATCATACATTGTATGATCAGTTTTCGTCAGATACTATTTATGTTTAATTTTAAATAAAAAATTTAAATAATTTCTAACAGTATAATGTACAATAAACGATTAAGATGTACAGATCCCTACTATTTGAATCCTAATGGGATCCAAATCCTGCTTGCACGACTTGAATAGTCGCATGACAGATGGTCAAGTGTCTGGTCAAATTGGTTTAGGACACGGCAATGAACTCAATTAATCTTGGATAATTATCTTTCCTTTATCATTGTTGAACTTTGTGCATCGGGAAGCAAACAACGTAGCACACATGCTAGCTCGTGCTGGTTTGGGTGTTTCTAGTGAAGATAGGTGGGTTGAATCTCCCCCAAAATTTATTTTAGATGCTTTATTAGAAGATAATCAAGTGTAACCGTTTACATTACGGTGAAGATAACTATTTATGCGGAACACTCCTTTTTTTTTTTAGACCGGATTGAAATTTACGACAAGATTTTTATTGAGTTCCATTTAAACACTATATTCTCTCTTTGTACGTGTTTTTTGTATTAATAAATATTGTACTTTCTTAAAAAAAAAACAAAGTAGAACTACTTTATTTTTTAACAAATTTGCTAACTACTAAAGTTCAATCTTGGATAATATTTTTAATATCTTTCTTTTATTTTTCGTTTTATTTGCTAACTACTTATAGTGAGTGGTAGATATTCAAATATATTGTGTTTGCGTACTTATTTTCTATTGATGGTTTTCAAATGTAATCTAAAAAAATTGGTGTCTATTTATTAGGTCTGGCAAACGGGTCGTGTCTGTAGTGTTCGTGTTGTTTTCGTGTAACACCTGTTATCTTAACGGGTCGTGTCATGTCACACCTGTTATCTTAACAGGTTGGGTCACTTTACCTAACGGGTAAAGTGACCCGACCCGTTATGACCCGTTAAGAAAATATTTTTTTTTCTTAAATTTGCACATACCACACATTGCCACTTAAATATTACTTCAAAATATTAAAACACATTTATCGTTTTAGTACTACATTTACACTTGAAAATAAGATCCTAATAAAAAAACAATCAAACACTACTAGTTTATTACAACATATTAACTGTGCAAGCATGGGCGAAGCTACAAAGGAGCAAGGAGGGGCGGTCGCCCCTCCTCTCGCCAGAAAAGAATCCCAAAAACGAGTAGCCGCCCCTCTAGTCAGTCGGAAAACCTGCAAACGCCCCTGCTTCCTCTGCTGCTGTACATCATCCGTTGTAGGCCTTCATTTTTTTTTTTTTGAAATCCCAACTACTATTGGCATATAGCGAAAAGAAATAAGACGAAATATGGGCATTTCCGGTGTGAGCCGGAGTTGCGTTGCAGAAGCGGCAATTCAAATGATTCGCAAGGAAGAAGAAGGGGCCCAACTATTTAAGTTGAAACGCACAGTTTCATTTTTGTTGTGGCTACCAATGAAAATACAACTGCAAGCCACTTTTGATTGTTTTCTTATTTTTTTTATAATTATTTTTTAATATTAACAAAAGATTTCAGAGCATTAATTTTATTAATTTATAGTTTAGAGTTTTTCTCGCAATAAGAAGAAAACAATCAAGTACAAGAGCTCCGAGAAATTGGTGTCCGGTAAGAGATAGAGAAGCAAGACTACACTTTGGCAATCAAGTACAAGAGCTCCGAGGAAGAAGCCATCTCATTAGGTGCAATTGTTTGGGAAGAAGAGAGTGAAAATTCTACTATGAGGAGCCCTATTGTGATCTCGGGTAGCCCTACTGTGATCATTGTGTAAGAACACGTTAGCTAGCATTTCGGGTAGTTTGGTATGACTTCAATTCAATCCATGTAGTTCAAAGATGAGCAATTGCAACCATTTTATCAACAAAATTATAATACAATGAGCCTTTTTGTTTTTCTTACTAATAATATTCCTTATATGTAACATTGACAATGCACCCATTACATGTAAATCCTTGGAAAAAAGTTTGACTTTCTACATTCTTTTGGGCCTGACTTCAATCCCCTGAACAATAAGGCCTCTCATCATTCTATCAACCTCCATACATGCCATCTCCATTAACCCCCCATCTTCTTCTCCTGGACATAAAAACTCTCCAATCTCCACCTCCAGCCAGCCGTCGGGCCTTTTCTTTGGATATTGAGTTTCATCGATAGGTCTCCCGATAATGTTCTGTCTCCTCCATCCTACTTTTAGGCTCCTTTCTTGGCCCGGAAACACAGTGCGCTTACTATTAGTCTCTTCTTCCCCAAAAAGTCCTACCTTGACCTCCAAGAGATCGTCACGATCAAATCCTCTAGCCCTTTCACTTAACATGAACACAAGATAAGCTTTGTAGACAGTGGAGGGGGAAAGAATCCGTGTATCAATTTTGCCATTGATCTCAAGCCACCAAACAACTACAAGCTCAGCCACCTCCTCAAACCTGTTTCATTTAACATGACACATACTAATTAATTGCCTAATTACACACATACACACATATTTCAATATAAATATATACATCGCTAAAACAAATCCAACTGCAGAATAAGCACGATATGTTAACGCTTTCTCAACATCTTAAAAGCATAGCTGTTAGCTTAATCAAACCAACAAAACGTAAGATGAATGAACTTTACGGACCTGGAGTTGGCAAGAGAAATCCATTTCCAGTAGGCAGGAGTACCACCCCAAGCAATCATAAGGTCCTTCGGCGATATCATGTAACATTTTTTCCCACTCCATTTGTCCAGAGTAAAACTCTGCATATATAGATCATAGAAACTGATTGGAAAAGAATACAAAAACTTATTCTGGCTAGTTTCCCATGCATTAGTTCCAGTAGGCACGATCTCAAAGTCTAAAGTCATATTTTCATATTAATTTATGACAATAAAACTTTATCCGAAAGTAGAGAGAAACAAATAAAATCTTCAAATTTATTCATGTTTCAAATTTTGGGAGCTATCCCTAATCCCACCACAACAGCGAGAAAGAACGTATAAAATTACCATTTTGCCGTCGTCAACGAGGACAGGGTTTTCGCAGAGAGTGAGGTAAAGCTTCTTCTTGGAGGAGGAGGAGGTGGAGGAGGAGGAGGAGGCGTGAGATAGGATGGAGGGGATATCAGGGGGAAGGAACTTGTCCCAAACAGCGTCGGAATCAGCGGCCGACATGAAACTCTTAGACACCGCCGAAAACCTGCACGCGTCTCGAGGCGTCGTTAAGGAGACGACTTTAGCTATGCATCCTTCGGGCAACTCCTGCAGATCCATGTGAACGTGATGATGATCGTCATCGAGTACCATCGACACCGGCGTCCTGCAGCCCCCGCAGGTGATTCCTTCTCCTCCTCCTCCTCCTCCTCCTCCTCCTCCTCCTGATGCACCGGCGTCGACTGTCTTCTTTTGCATCTCTGGTTTATCTCCGTCGCGGCGGTGTCTCTTCATGTTTTCTGTCTGTCTGTCTGTCTGTCTGTGACGTGGACTCTCGGGCCGTGCGTGTTCTGTTGTGTGTAAGAAACTTGTCATATTTGTAGGGAGAGAGGCCTTACGCGTTAAGTCACGGTTCAATTTTTCCTCGAGTTCCTTTTTCTAATGTTGACAAACGCTACCCCTTGTAGAAAACTATTTCCAAAATTTGCATCTGTCACTTTCAACACACTGTAAGCTTCCTAGAATTAAATTAAGATAGTTCAGAGCACCAGCGTCTACTGTCTTCTTTTGCATCTCTAGGTGATCTCCTTCGCGGCAGATTCTCTTCATGTCTTCCGTCTGTCCGTCGTTGACTCTCGTGTCGTGCGTGTACTTTGTGGTACGTGTTCTGTTGTGTGCAAGAAACTTGTCATATTTGTAGGGACTAGTGAGGGAGGCCTTAGGCGTTAAGGCATGGTTCAGTTTTTACTCCAGTAGTTTTACTTCGTTTTCTAATGTTGACAAACGCTACACTTTCTAGAAAACTATTTAAAAAATTTATTTCTCTGTCACTTTCGACACGCTAAGCTTCTTAGATTTAAATTAGAATATTTCAAAGCATATGAGAATTTACCGAAGCGGAAGAAAAACAATCATGCATATGAACTATGGTGTGTGGTCAATTCATACTCTCTTTAACAACTAACACTATATGTATTTCAAAAAAAATTGGCCACCAAATTGCCATATTACCCACACAAATTATTTTTTGGAATTTAATATTTAACTTTATTTTTCTTTCTGTTTGGACCCGATTTTACACCATCGGCCTAAGCGGTCGAGACCGTTGAGTAAGCATGGTTCGCAACCGTTGGATAAGAAAGTTAAGATATTATTGTTAAGAGATAATATTATTATTTTTAAATTATAATAATTATCTTTTAATAAGTTATCTCGGTTTTTATGCGAAATCCAAGGATAAGACGGCATGGATAAATGGAAGATGTGATCAAGTTGAATATTTTTTGATGATTGCATGATTCTAGCACGTGGAGGCCATTAAACATTTGGATCAGGATTTACTTGCACAAAATATTGAGATAATGATGGGGATTTTTGATCAGGTTGGGTAATTGCATGCAGTTGGGTCTGATCCATGCCAGAATGCGTGAAGGATTCTAAATGGTATATGCTTTTGGACGGCGTCCGACGAATTATGCTTGCATGAAGATGAAGATGTTAAATTGGAGATGGATAGCCACGTCTGATTGGATTTAGTGGAGCCATGCATGCATATTATTATTTCAAGTCAATATGCTTATCAGCACTAATTGGTATATGCTAATATTCTATTAGTTAGCACGAGGTGGTTTCGTGTTGGTAAGTGATAACAATCTTTTATTTTGCATGAGATTGTTATGAAGGAGGACTTTAATGTTGGCGGCAGCTTTACAACGTGAGCCGTCAGGATGATGATGATACTTATAAATACAAAGTCGCAGACAATGGTCAAGGCCCCTCCAATTCAACACACAACTGTCCTGAGCAAACTTTCTCAACAACCTTGAGATTTTTTTTTTATTCTCTTTTCGCCGACACATCTTCCGTTGGTATCAACAGCACTATGAAGGCAACCGGTGATATCCTCAGTCGGCATGAGATAGCTCTGTCACCGTAGAATCAGCCGATCTCGCAGCATCTTCCGTTGGTATCAACAACACTGCGGCGAGGTCGACTGGTTACCTATCCAAGTCTCGGTCGAGAAGGATTTCTGAATCCTTATTGGTCGAGGTCATCTCATCAGCCTTCTCGGCGAAGTGAGGTGTTACGAGTTACTACATTCGACACATTGGAAGCCGAATTTGATATTGAACTTCGCTAAGTTAGCAGCCTTGTCTTCAGGCTCGAGAACCCAAGAGGCCGAGACGTGTTCCTTTCTCGGTCGCAATCGCAAGGCGCATAAGTCAGTAGCGCGACCCAATGCAACATCAACAAATTTTACTCCTCGGCCGACGAGTTGGCATGCCCCGCACACAACCGAAGGACGTAGTTAGCTCATAGATTACTCGGTCTGCGCACTACGTAGGCTTGTTAGTTTTTAGGGTCAACACTTTCTCAATAAAATAAGAGTGATGATATACCCACCCCAATGTCTTATTTTCCCACCCACCTTATATTTACACCCACCATAACAAGACAAAACACACATAAACTCTTTCCCCACCCACCATTATTTCCAAAATAACCCTATATATTTCTTCTTCCAATTTTCCTTGCCTTAAAAAATTTATTATAATTTAACAAAAATGAAAATTATCATTAAACAAATATACCCAACAACTCCAACTCCAAATATCACAGTAGTCCCCTCCCCAAAAAATTCCCAGAACCGTCCCCCCCCCACCCCCAAAACATACCCAGCGCCCTCCTTGCCCAAAATCCTCGATCGGCCTCAACGGCGTGTTTTGGAATCGGGAGATGGTTCTCCCCATTTGATCGAGTCGTTGGAGGACCGCAGAGGAGATCAATGGATGAGATGGGCTTGCCGTCAGAGCATAGCCTCTACGAGTTTGGCGAAGGTCTCAGCCATGGCGAGCAAGACGATCGGTGAGAAAGCCAGTGCATAAGAGAAAGGGAGAGGAGAAAGAGAGTGAAGGAGGAAGAAGCAGTAGTGTTTAGGGTTGAAGCAGTGAGGTAAGAAATTAAAATGGGGTGAAGTTGTGGAGGCTAAGGTCGGGGAGGGTGGTGGTTATGGGTTCTTCAAGTTTTGTTTTTTTTTTTTTTAATTTCATTTTTATGTTAAATAAGTTTTAAGTCCAGCTGTATAATAATTGTATATGTGTTAAATTTCGAATGGAAGTTATGTGCTGATGTGGTAATACTAAATTATCTAATGATTTATCCTAATTGTGGAGGTGAAGGGGTTTGTGGCAATATATGATTGGTTGATTTTTAAGTCTTTGAATGTCATTTTATACAAGGACAAATTTGTTAATAAAAGTATTATTTTAAAGTGGGTGAAGTGATAAGACATTGGGATGGACTTAGTAGCACTCTTATAAAAAATAATAACTTACTATAAGAAGTGTACTTTTCTCGTACTATCATATTCACTAAATTATTAAAATAAAAATTTGATAATTTTGAATGTTATATGTTAAATAATAAGCTTAGTTAAATATAAAATTGAAGCTTCAATACAAGTATAATTTTTTAAGGTGTAAACACTTATGTATATGATATATACATAATAAATTTACTCAAATACGTCTAGGTTCCTGCCTAGGCGTTAGATGATATATAAATAAATTTACTCAAATTTATCTAGGCGCTAGGCTTCAGTTCGCTGCCTGCCTAGACCTAGCGTCTTTTAGAACCTTTAACCTTAATTATGAACGACATTAATATTGCCTACTATCTAAAATGATTTGATTGTCTACACTTTTTTGGGACCTTTTACAGTTCTAAATTTCGCCCCTCCTCCCGACTATTTCTGGTTTCACCACTGCTAGGGATGTAAATATACATTTAAGGATCACTCTCTTGGGCGATGTGGAATGTTATAATAAACGAATGTGATTAAAAAATCTTTGTAATCCTCACAAAGAGTATTCTCTCTCGAAGATTTGAAAGGTATTGGATTTTTTTTTTTTTTTTTGAAAAAAAAAAAAACCAATATCTTTTCATAAGAAAATTCTAAAGACTTGCTTGCACGACTTGAATTGTCGCATGACAGATGGGCTAGTGTCTGGTCAAATTGGTTTAGGACACGGCAATGAACTTAATTAATCTTGGATAATATTTTTAAATATCTTTCTTTTATTTTTCTTTTTATTTGCTAACTACTTTATTTTTTAACAAATTTGCTAACTACTTAGACCATCTCTAACCTTTGGATCCGAAAAATTTAGCTTTTAGCCCAGAAATAGTTTTTCTACTCAAACTCTTCTGGCCAAAAAATTTAGCCCGGTATTATTAAAAGAATGAACTTAGACTATTTTTTTTTCTTAAATTAACTTTTTTTTTAAATATGTAGACTATCGTAAATTAATTTTATGAACATTTTAATATAAAAATATTTAAATTTTAAAAAATATTGAAAAATCATGAATTCGAAACCATAGGTCCAAGAATCAGGGTGCATGTTCAAGAAAAACACAAGTCCCCTATTCGTTAATGTCTATATGTTTTTGTAGACATCGAAATTTCGGTAAATAAATGTTGACCGATAAATCAAAGTGTCAACGCTCATGTATTACATAAATTTTACACGTAGCGTGTGATTAAACGAAAATTGAAATGAGTTGGAAAAGTCATCAAATAGGACACGTGTCAACACCTGGCAGAAACGACTTATTTCATCTGGGATATTATATTCAAAATTAGGCCTTGGAAATTTCTATAAATACAAGCCTATTTCATTCATTCAAAGGAACCAATTCATATTACACCTTGAAGCTCTGAAGCTCTGAAACTCCGAAGCTCTCAAGCATCCAGGTTCCCGAAGAATCAAGAAAGCTCTCTTCGTTCTTCGTTCTTCGTCCATCGCTCTTTCAAGATCAAGCCCCGACGGCCCTTGAAGAAAGCACCATCATTCATCATCCGTTCATCCAAGATCAAGCCCCAACGGCCCTTTGGATCAACAATCATCCACCTTCAAGATCAAGCCCCGACGGCTCTTGAAGAAAGTGTTCTTCGTTCATCGTTCTTCCAAGATCAAGCCCCAACGGCCCTTTGGATCAACAAACATCGACAAATCCACACATCCAACCGTTCTTCAAGATTAAGTCCAAAAGCACTTGAAGATCTGTTCATCACTGTTTCTTCAAGATCAAGCCCAAAAGCCCTTGAAGATCCGCTCAAATCCACCTGCCCACGGCCCTTTGAAGAAACTTCCAACTGTTCATCCAAGATTAAGCCTCGACGGCCCTTGGATCAACGAAACACCCACCAATCAACACCTTACGGAGATCGAATCAGAGGATCAAATTTGAGAGAGATTGTAACCCAAAATCATCAAATACATATATTTGTTTGTGCACGTCGTTCTTGTCTATTTCGTTTCAGGAATTTTCCGTGTTCACAAATTGGCACGCCCAGTGGGACATCT